GGAGGTGGGTGGCCCGTCAGGTGCAGGTGGCCTCCTGGCTCTCCACGGGGATCTCGCTGCCGCAGCCGCCCTCGCCGTACTGCTGGTAGGGGGGGATCTGGGGGGCCTCGATGATCAGCAGCCCCTCCGGCGACAAGGAGGCGAAGACCGTGATGGGGTCCACCTCGTAGGGCAGCCTGGGGGAGGGAAGGAAGGAAAGACGAGATGGTTTAGGAGGTGGGGGGGGCCAGGGAGGCTGGCTCGCAGCATCCCCCATCCCTGGAGGACTTGAACCCTCAAGAAGCAGGACCACCAGACCGTGGGGAAACACCAATGGCGAGCCCCCAGCCCCAGTGCAGGGCTCAGCAAAGCCTGTGTTATTACTGTAGCCCCCGGGAATGTGCTGGGGATATTTAAAGAGGTTTCCTGGCCGGCCTGGCCCCCGCAGGCACTCTGGTTAATCTCCCCAGCAGATGTGTTTGATGGGATGTCACCCGCCGCTTGTGCCGCCCAGGGCTCCTGCAAAGCTGGAGTAAATCATCGCCGCTCCGCAGCCGGCGTCAGCCGCGAGCCTTGCCCGTAAAAGGAGCCGCCGTGGCGGCCGGGCAGGAGCAGCGCCGGGCTCACCCAGCCTTCCCGCGGGATCCAGGGATGCACAGGGCTCCTCCGGGGTGGGGAAGCAAAGCTGAGCCAAGGAGACCCTTCCCACGCCCCGGGCTTTGCTGCTTCTCCCTTGCTAACCCTGCAGTGGGGGGGTCTGCACCCCCTGGCATGGGTGAGGTGCCACGGTCGGGGCTCACCAGCCTCCGGATTGGCCTTTCCTCCCTGCCCTTGGCTGTTGTTGTTGCCAAAGTGAGCCGTCGTTGCGGTGAGTCAAGGCGATAGCGATCTGGCTGACATCATGCAGATGGAGATGCGTATTTATATACATCTCTATACATACATTCGCACGCAGGGGTGTATTTTGGGGCGGATGATGGTGTCAGCCCATCGTGCCCTGCTGTACCCTGGGGGATGTGGTGGCACCGTGCCTCCTTGCACCACCTCCTGCACCCCTGGCCGGCTCCAAAGCACAGCCCCGGGCCTGGAGGAGACTGACAAAGCACCCAAAAAAAGACCTCCTTCTCTTTTACCTCCCTCGGGAAACCACCGTGTGGCCCAGACCAGTCACGTGCCGGAAAAGGGCAGATTTTGGGGTGAAAATAAGCTCAGGAGTCCATGTGTGTGTGAGCTGGGGTGCGGGGACTGGCAAAGCTCAGCCCTTCATCAACAGAGGCATCCCCACGCTGCCTGTGACCTGTCCCCACTGCAGGGACGGGGTCCCACAGCAGGCTAGCAACAGTTGGGTGCTGGTCAAGGGGATGTGGCAGCCTCCCAGCCCCTTCAGCGGGGAGACACCCCGGGTACCTACTGGATTTTCTTGGTGAAGTTCTTGGAGACGATCCCTCCTTCCACCTGCTGCTCCTCGTGTTTGCCTGCAGGGAAAGGCAACACCCTGCGTCACCACCTCACCGGGAGATTGGTTTTTTCCCCAACAAACACCAAGGAAAGCCAACAGGAGAGTTTTCAGAGTTGTTTTCCTTCCCCAGTACAAACCCTTCCCCCTGGGGGGGGCTCAGGGAGCATCTCCTACGTGGGGAAGGAGATGCTGGATGCAGCACACCCCTATTTCCAGTGAGAACTTGGGGTCTCACAGGCTGCTAAGAGCTGGGGTTTAAGAAAAAGCCCCCCTTCCCCCCCCCCCCACCCCCCAATGTAATAAAACCTTTGGAGGTGGCAGTGTCACCCCTTGTCCCCCTCCCCAGGCTGGGCTCCCCTCTGCTCCCGTCAGGCTGGGGGGCTCTATGGCTGGAGCAGGGGGTCCCTGTGCCTGCAGCATCTCCAAAGTTAAAACCACACTGGTGGCTGCTTACTCCATCCCCCCCCCCAACTTGTCATT